AATAAAAATAAAACTGATTACGAGTTTCTAGCTTGATTTGAAAAGAAGGAAATATAGCATATTTTTCTTAAGCTCATGAGATCTTGTTAATCAAATACTAACAAACTGAAAAAATATGTCTGTACCTATTAGTTAATGTAAAGGAATCTGTTCGTGTTATATGTAGTGCATTACAACAAGCACAAGTGGCTCTCAGGTGGCAGGACACAATTAATGCTGACATCAGAATTGTTCAGTTGGACCCAGTTGCTGTGTCTGATCATGTGAAAAGATGTTCACTGATCCAAAAAGGGGACCTTGCACATGTGAGAAAATGCTGGATGAACAAGACAACTCTTCAGAGTTTTTAGCAAAATAGGAAAAGGACTTGTGATCTAAACCCGATTAAGTCCTTTTGGAAAACATTATTACTTAACATTTCTCCTAAAATTGTTTTTGGCAAGACACCAGAAATTCATGAACAATACCATGGACCTTAAAACTGCATTGTGTTGCTCAAAGTCTTTCTAGATGGTGTCGGATTGTAATCCAATTGGAATACGTTGCTATTTCTGGTGGCAATGGCCTTTTGCTCACTTGTTTTGATTGAAAGTTTTTGAATAAATTAGAAAGATTACACAATTCTTGATTACGACTGTGAGTATACTGTAGGTTTATTGTCCAGATTTGCGAGGATATTTAAAATGGGGTGAGACAAGAATTAGCAAAGGGTAAGAAACAAATTCAATTATTATTAGTAAGAGTCAGATTTATTACAGAAAAGCACAGGAAAACTAAAGTATATCTTTCTTTGGATCAATGGTGTGGGAAATGGAATTGGCTGAAAAATGAACACTGCAGTAAAGATTCCTGAAGACTCCTTCAGCTAAAGATTGTTTTATTCACCTTTGATCTCCATTTCTGGTTATGGCAACAACATAGTTCCTAATTCTCTCTTTCTATACCTCTGTTTTTTTAGTTTAGCTATACTAAACACAGATCTTTAAAATGTTGCATCTCCCATAAGATTCCAAATGTATTTATACTTAGTTTAAAAGTATACTAAATGTATTTTGTGTGTGTATGTATTTGTGTGTGTGTGTGCTAAGTTATCCTTTGTTTTCTTTTGTGTAGATTCTGTTGTGCAATAATTTTGTTTACATTTTTTAATCTTCAATTTCTTCTGGGTCAATGAATATTTGAATAAATCTTTAAAACACGGAGAATATAGAAAATATTAAACAAGTAATAATTTAAAGGTAGAGTCTCTTTTAGCCCTTTTTTCATATTCAGAAAGAGAGGCAAAAGAAAGGTGTGTACCCTTCATGGCCTTCTTCCTTTTGTTGTCAGTCATAAGGTTCACTATTTCTAACAGGGCTGGGAGAATTCAGATAAGCCAAGTTTCTCATCTTGATCTAAAAATTGAAATGTGTGACATTTATTTATTTTATAAATGTGGTATAGAAAGCCTATTTGGCATGCTGTAGCTTTTCTTCTAGAAAGAATTCCAATATCATAAAATCTATTTAGAGTATCTACAGATCTGTAACAAGCAAAAAAAAAACAACAACCTTGGGAGGTATGCGATGCTGAAATTAAAAAAAAGTGTGGGGCAATTTTTTGAGTGCTTTCTATTCTTCTGTACTCGGTCATTGCACATCAGTTATTATCCAGTAATAATACACCATTATTGTCACTATGCAAAAGTCAGGTTGCTTATATTGAACTGGAATGACATTTGGGTTGTTGTTTTTTTTCCTTTGTAAATAAAACTGCTGCTGGGTGCTGCAATCACAAGAAGATGGCCTGGTGAAGACAAAATGCTTAAATCTTTAAAATCTTTCCCTACTAGTCACTATTTATTTATTAATCAAACTGATCTCCTGCTGTAATTGTAAATGGATTCTCAGTGGCTCATAAACAAGACAGTAATAGGATCATGAAAAATAAAAAAAATATTGTGTCTCAAAAGCTCAAAACAATAGCTGTGTTGGTTGTTTCTGAAAGGCAAAATACTGTAACATTGGAGCCAATAAAACCTCTTATGAGAGGCCACTCTGGAAGGCTATCCCCATTAGGGAAGAACAATGTCTCCAAATTCACACATACATACACATACACACACTCACAAACACACACTCTTCCTGAAAAACAGCTGCACTGATCTTCCAGCAAGATCACTGTGTATATGCCAATTCAAGAGGAGCAAAGTGGCCCTACAGGTAACCCAATGCCAAGCCATAAAGAGCTTCATAGCTTCAAGCCAGTTTTTAAATTTTATTTGGAACCTCTTTCCACCATGAGCATTTTTCTACTTGTTTTTCTTTGCATGGTGAAAAAAATAAAAAAGCCTGACACTTTCTGTGGGGTTTGAGTTAGATACAGGCAGAATGGGAAAAAAGGGAAAAGTTAAATAATCTTTTTGCCAAACCTTTAGAAATTGTGATTTTATGAGATAGAAATTAAACAATACTTAACAATTATTGATAAGAAAGACAAAAAAAAGTCTGGATAACATGATCTGGAGACAACAGAAAAGAAAGAACTGGAGAAGATAACAAAATACAAAGGCCTGCAAATAGAAACAGAATGACTGTTTCTATTTGCAAAGGTGGTATCAATAGTAAAAGCTTGGGTGCAATCCCAAAAGAACTGGAACACCACTTAAACACCATTGGCATTGATAAATTCACCATGAGTCAATTGCAAAAGGCAGCTTTACTTGGAACAGCTTGCATCCTGTGATGATACCTTTAATGCTATGAAACATCAACATATGCCTATACCAGGTCTTTGGGAAGTACTTGATTGGTAGATAAAATGCCAAATCCAGTCTGAGTATCTGGCTGATTGTGCAATGAACCACTGTTAAAGTTCTGGAATATATTGAAAACCTGTTTATTTTCCTAGACCTTGGAATACAAAATTGCTAAGCCTCTATAGCATTGGTTTTGTTTTGTACAGCACAGTTTTTCTTTTTCTGGATGGACAATTCTTTGTTCTTTCATTTTATGGTTCTAGCTTTTTTAAGAAACAAAGTGTCCAGTTCACTGGAAATCAGGCATTTTAAAATCTATATAAATAAATAAATGGCTAATTATACCAATGACCATAGCTGGATCCAGTGATTAAAATTTCTGTTGTTTTTCTTTTAAAAAATACAGTTGCAACTGATATTTCAAGATCCTCAAGCATATTCCATAAACAACAATTTTATCAACACTAACATTAATGCTCTGATTACTAATTATTTAAAATCCATCTCCAACAGCAAAATCCCCAATTTCTATGCAAAGTTATTACTTCGACATAAAACATCATCCAACTTGGTTTTCATACTATTTATTAGGGAAAGGATCCCTGTGTTTGAATGGAGAATACCCTTCAAATTGAAAGGTAGAGATTTCCATATTACCTTTAGACCGGTACCTGGAGCTAAGCTATGTAATATTAGACTTGATGGATAAGTTTTATTTGTCATGCAGAGTTAACCAATGCATTGTGTGGATAAAACATCTTTTATCTACCCTTGATTTAACTGACTGAAGTCTCTTTTTGAGTTATGAAATGATTTGCTTAAACGTTTGCTCCATTTTCTGGAGTGACGATGTTTGCGTGCTTTGTTTTCTTTAGCTTTCCCAATATGTTTCAAAGTAAAATGATTCCAAACATCGTTTTATGTGTCTTAGATGTGAATGCTCACACGGAGCTAAATAAAGTTTAATTTGAGAGATGTTTTCTCTGATGGAATGAACGTCAGCATTTCTGAGCAGAAAATGGGTGCACGGCCATGAACCTCTGACCCACATTATTATCTTTGCAGAGAGCAATTTATTTTCCTGAACTCTCCTGGAATTACTTATACCTTCAGAGCAAGCCTCAAGAGTCTATCACCTAATCATGTTTGTTATCCCTTAGCAGCAAATGGACTAAGTCTTTCTTCATATTTCTTATCAGTTCTTGGAACACCCGTCAGTTCTTAAGGGTAAAGTCTCATTTGATTCAATTTTGATTCACGGTGATTTTATGCATATGTTCATACAATTTTCTTGGCAACAGTAAATAATTGAATTATTTCACCCTCCTTAACTTTTTGAGATCAACCAAGGTCAGCTAGGCACTTCCACCTAGCAGGGCAATCAATTCTTACTGCTACAAATAGTTCCGCTGTGTCCATTTACTCCTAAGAATTTGCATTTCATTCTGGGTATGCTATTTAGGAAGATTTGTTTTGGGTGAAGGGAAAGTGTCAAAACAAAATTCTGAATTTAGTTAATGGCCATCTTGAAATTTTCTCTACTTTTATTATTATTATTATTCTAAAATTGGCCTTTATTAAAGATACCTCAATAGGGTAGAAAACAGGAATATGTTTGTGAGTAACAGACTAGGGATATGACAGATGGTAGATCATGATATTAGGATACCCTTTTTTTAACTATTTACATTGAGTTATATTAAAGCCTCTCACAAATTATATGTAAATAGGTTTTGCTTTAACATTGAGCAGAGGAGTGGGCAATCTGTCAATTTTTGTCCTCACCAAATTGTCCAAATTGTTAATTGAACATAGAGCAAGTTTTCTTTAGGTGCCGTTTAAGAACTTGCCAGAAAAAAAACTGAAGAGTCATTAAGTTTGCTTATACCTGGGATGAAGATCAGAAGTCATTTTTTAAAATATTTTTTTTCTTTTGCCTTATTTTTTCCTTTTTCTTGCACTTTTTATTCTTTCTATTTCTCTTTTTGCTCGCTGGGTTTATTTTGCACTTGCTTTTAGGATTGCAATCAAAATTTTCAATAAAAACTATTAAAAACATGAGTTTGCCAGAAAGAATTTGCACGTTTGTTTATGGCAAAAAGAATTCAGTAATTTACAATTAGTGCAAACCAAAACCAAGCCACCTCTCTTGTGACACAGGACACAGAAATGAAAGACAAACTGAAATATAATTGTTCTTATTCTGTAAAAGCTGTCTGAATGAATAATATGAATCTGTTAGGCAAAAAAGCATATTTCTTACATTAGCAGAGGAGTTGCTGATCTCTACTTTAGATGCAGCGGCCTGGTACAAAGCCATTCTTTCTTTTAAGGAGAAGACCTCCTGGTTCTCCAGAGGCACCTGGTCACTTTCTTTAATGCCTCCTGAAAGCCCACCAGCAGTCTTTTTATCACCCGTAGAACCTTGAAACAACAATAGAACACGGTCAAAATTTTCTGAACAAGTACGATAATTGCTTACTTTACAGGTACATATCAAATATTTTCTATTTTTTTCTAGAGGTCATTCAAGCAGCATTGCACCAATGAAGTATGATTTTGCTATTAAATGCATATACAAGTTCTCTGAGTGGAAAATTTAAAAAGAAACACAAAAATAGCACAGTGGACAATCGCAAGTGACTGATTATATTTTTATATGTGTACACACGCACACAAAATCGCCACCTAGAACGGAGGGTTACAATTCAGAATCCATCAATATTCAAGTCAGCAAAAAGGTAGCCAGCTGTCAGGTTATGTTTCTCTTTTCCAGCAGCTTTTTATAGTTACTCAGCATTCATTTCTAAATAATTTAAATTTATCCCATAATTTTTAAAAGGGTTTTGCCTCACATTTTTTCCATAACTTCTGTTCTCAACTCTCTCCCCCTTTTTCACCATTTTTCTTGTTGAAGAGAGGCGTTATTATATAAGGTTACTGTTGAAAGAAAAATCTTCAGGTCCAGTCCAAGCCGGGAATAAGAAAATGGAGACTGCTTTAGGAAAGAAGGTCCAGTTTATTGAGTTGCAGAACCACAACAGCATATGGTTCTAGGGCAGCTGACCAACTGATTTGATGAGTACAAGGATTTTTATACAGTTGTACAGCATTTCGTAAATTGGAGGCTTGTTTTGTGTACTTTTGTTATTAGATTTGTTTAGCTTGTTTCACAAATATTAGCAATGGGACTAAAATACTTACTTCCTTGGTCCTAATCCTGTCAAACAAAAGTAATTAATTTTCCCCCCTTATCTTTAGTCTGTCTATTACCTCCATTGAGCTCTCTTTGTGAATAATAGGCCTAGTTCAATCTTTTTCGCAATAGCCAGGGATTTCATGAGTGAAACATTGCTTCTGTATTTCTTTTCCTGAGCTTTATTCTTGTGATTTGGGGGGCATAGTAAAAAAGGATTTTGTGTGTGTGTGTGTGTGTGTGTGTGTGTGCATTCTTACCTCATTACTTTTCTTGAATTTTTCTAGTATGCAAAAATAAGATGATTTCCCTAACAAGCTGATACTTTCTTCTTCTTCTTTTTCTATTTGCACCATAGGGCATTCAAAGGAATGACTTCATGATACATGACACAGTTAAATTTCTACTACTCAACAAAAGGGTAGAGTCAGAGTTATCTCAAACTGGTACTCTATGGTAAACACCTATTAAGAAATAATGGAAATGTTGTTGCACATCTATCTCCCTTCCATTCATCCTCACCAAACTGTTTTGGGGGTATGCTGGGAACCCTTCAGATTTCATTTGCTTACCACAAATTTTTGCCTTTGCCCCACTGTAATGAAAGCTTTACAATAATTTGACCTTATTTGAAAAATTGAAAGATGAAGTCATTCTGCAAGAGCTGTGTCCTCCAGAGGCCAGAGCTTGTTATTTTAATACTGTAAATGGCTTTTAAAAATGTAAAATGTATGTTATTTTCTTGGTTAACTTTACAACCGGGTTGGCCATTTTCTTTAGCCTAGCAATTAATGAAACAATTTCTGTCATTTTTCTGTCATGACATTTTTTTATTGATAGTTTAATGAACTTCTTAAACGTTTTATTAACTTCTCAGCTGTGCTAAGATATAACCTTTCCAGCAAGAGTGATCCGAACAATCAACATCTGTACATAAGACAAAACCCCATTTTTATATGACTGATATTTTTCTATGTTCATTAACACGGTCCTTTTCTTCAGATTAAAATATATGTAAAAGAATCCCTAAGTAAAAAAACAAGTTTAGAATCAGGCTTAGTTTGAAACTCCAGTTGTGCTACAAAGAATAAATCCTCTTTTCATACAGTTCCCATTCATTTCTTTAAGGCTTACCATATTGAACGGCCATCATAATTTGTGCCCAACATTCATTTGCTCTGTTCTTTTGTTTTGAATGTTGTTCCTTCCATCCTCAAACTACTTCTATCACAGCTGGGAATGGGCTGCTTAGAAATTATTTTTAGTTCTCCGTGGCTTATAACATTCATGATAGTCCTGAGTAATTTTCAACTTCATTTAACTCTGACTTTCAGGAGTTATGAACCAAAACCTTCTTCATAAAACACAAACTGATTACCCTTGCAAGAGCTAGAGAAATCTTCCAGTTCAAGATACCCACCATTTTAAGAACCAAATGCTGAGGATGCTTCTCGGACCTGGCATCCACCAATGTGAGGTGAACCCAGCATCCCAAATTCTCTGACAGAACGCTACACTCTTACAAGGTCTGGAGGATGCCTCTGCAGCTGTCAGTTTGGCATACCAAACATGGAATTTCACAAAGTAGTATGACTGAAACTAATGAGCATGGAAAGGTCTGATTTGGTTCACATTAAACATAGATTGAAAAGCTGAAAAACCTGAGAGACATTGATATAGGCAGTGTATGTAGTTCTCCACTCTCTGCATGACTTCTGCTTTCTTCACAGCTTGTTTGATTATCAACCAGTGAGGTTGACCATCTATTAGACCAAGGAAGCTGTATCAGATGGAAAATGATTTGGGGCAGGATTGACAGGAAAGTGTTAAAGCTTTATGGTGGTCTCTGTGGTCTGCCTATGAATCCTGCAAGTTTGTTCTCAGGACACCTTCCCATCTTTAAAGTCATGGAGGACCCCAAAAGAGTTTTTGTGTGTAAGGGGAATATTTATCAATATTGACTGCATTAAAAATCACAGTGGATGCATCCATAGAATATTTATTGAATCGTGTAAAATGACAATATTAAATCTAGTAGAGAACAACATAAATAAATATTTTTACTTTATTTATTAAAATAAAAAATAAAAATAAAACATAACGAGAAGGGTGTCATTGTTTAAAACCCTTGCAAATCACTTCAATATCTGGCCAATCATTTTGATTTCAAGGACCCTTGAGAGGGTCTTGGGATGGGGGGCAGGGCCCTCGACCACATTTGATGAAACACTGTTCTAAGCCATCTATTGCATGAATAGTATTGAAGTATAATTCAGTCCCCACAGGTTGCTATTACCTCTGTAGTCTGCTGTTGTTGAAAGTATTACATATCCAGTAATAAATCTGGTCACAATTTCACAACATCACTGCTACTAACTACCCACTATGAACATTTAGCATAAATGTATCAAATATTACTTTGTAATATTTTTTTCATTTCATACTAATTTTTATAGTAGCTGGATTCTGGGTTTTTTTTCTCTAGTCCTCTTTTTGCATAAATCAGCATCAGGATACAGTATATCTGCTACAAAATCAAAGATTGGCTTGATATGAAATGTTTCTATAAGGAATTAGGATTTGAGTGCTTTTTAACATACATACCTGAAAGAGGAGTTTTTGTTAAGGCTATGAGCTTAATTAGACTAGTGGCTGAAATATATTTTTTGACAAGTGAGCATGGTACACAAATGAATGTAGATGTTAAAATAAGAGAGGAAATACTGAGCTTAAGGACAGGTCTCAGAGATTTCTCAGGGAACAAAGAATAATGTGCTAATTTTACTTGGGGAAGCAGTCACATAGCATGTAAGCTCCATCACCCTCACTTCAACAGGGAATATAGGAAATGTCATATCCAAAAGAAAAGAAGGTTATATATCTCATGCACAGTAAGGGAACTTGATTTTCAAATGTGGCATGATGGATGTCATTTATTTTTTTGATCAGTGCATTCTTTTTCTGAAAGATAGAGGATGTATGGATTCCACCCCTGTGGATCATCAGCCACAGCCAGTATAGAATTTGTACAGTAAATCTAGGAACAATTCAATAAGTGGAACAGAACAATTTGTGTAAACTGTCTCTTGGGATCATTTTATGTGAACAGAACATAAACAAAATGCACACAGTGTATTTCCTTAAACATTCTTTTGATGTATTCATCTGCGGTAAGGTGAACTCTAGATTTGTCTCATCGTTTCTCTATATATGAAAATATCAGGCAATTCTAGATGACACGGATGAATAAAAAACATTCTAAAGTGTAAATACATGAAAACAGTTCTTACTTCAGCTCATACATACATACACTTCCAAATCGGAATGGTCACTGCATAGTACCTGTTATAATACTTGTTACAAATTTCTTTTTATACAATTAGATGTTGTATAGATCCTCAGCATTTTCCAAATTGGGCCTGACTGAACATCAGGTAAAATTTCTTAATGAAAACAAGACTTTGACAATGGAACCAACTGCCAAAAGAGATGGTCTCCTCTGCTGGATATGTTTGAGCAGAGGCTGGTTATTCCTCTGTTGGGAATGTATGGAGGTTAGACTCAATGGAATGGTCTCTGTCAATTCTTTAGTTCAGTAATTTTATGTGCCATATTTTAAAGTCCTGAAAAATTTCTTGTGGAGTTAGAAGCTCAAGAGTTATGTGGGTAATTCAAATCAAAGTTCTAATTTAGTCTCATGACCATACCTATTGCTTTGTGACCATCAGCTTCTTACGATTCCTATGGGTACTTATTGTAAGAGGGAAAGACTATAGTTCATATCTCTAGATCAGTGGTGGCGAACCTATGGCACGCGTGCCAGAGGCGGCACTCAGAGCCCTCTCTGTGGGCACGTGCGCTGTTGTCCCAGTCCCGCCTCTCCCCGTGGGAGGAGATTCGCCCCCGAGTGCAGCCTGCGCAGAGCAGCGCAGCCAAAGACATGGCAGCTGGGCAGTGGGGACAAGACTCCGCCCTTGTGCCCCGTCATGCGCAGTTGATGCTGCAAGGCGCGGGCGGAGGGCGTGCCTGCCATGGCACTGCTGGGCCACCTGGGCAATTTGCGGCGGGCTGTGGAGGCGGTAGGTGGCTGGGTGGGAGGGGCGGCGGGATGAGTTTTTGGGCACTTGGTCTCTAAAAGGTTTGCCATCACTGCTCTAGATTCAGTGTCACACAGTTCCTCAAACCTCTGCTATTACATTAGAAGGGAGGTCTGGACTTCAATAAATTG